TACTACATCAGATATTACTAGAGTTACCATTCTGTTACTACATCATTCTAATGTAAGATTCTGTATTGTCATACTTGCCACAAAAAAATGTAAAATAATTGAATATTTAACATGTAGTTTAGCATTGATTACAATTCTATTTTCAGTACCTGTTTGTCCTTTTTTGCAATGAGAGACCGTTCAAAGCACTGCATGAGGTACCGGAGAACCTCCCCCTCTCCTGCAAGTCGCCTGGCCTTTGCATCATCTGAGGAACTCTTATGTTTTGTAGATATTACATCATCCAAAGGGTTAGTCAGCAGGAGACGCTCAAACACAGCCTGTGTATATAATAGGAAATACAAAAGACCATGATTTAGAAATAATATATGTTCTTTGTGCTTTTTTTCATATGGTTCTAATTTTCACTACTTTTGTACTTGATTCAATTCTGTAAAACAAAATAAATTGAGGAATGCTTTGTAACTTCTGGGAATATTTCAGAGCTCTTATTTGAATGTCCTCTCCATCCCTACTTAAAAGGAACTCTTCATATAAGAAACATAAAACCGTGAAAAGTTAGCATCTGTGAATTAAGATTTTCAGGCAAATCCAAAATACATTGAACAATGAAAATATATCTTAACAGTCTGACTGCCTGTTCTTTGAACCAAAGTTAATGATTTAGAGTGTAAGATAGGTTATCTACTTGTTCTTTTGACAAAGCTTCTACCTACCTGTTCAATGTACTTCATATCCAGCCATGTCTGGTTTCCCTTTTGAAGTGATTGACCCAACTCTCTGATAATTACCAACTTTGTTGGTCTGTCACTATCGTCAGTAATTTCTGGTAAAGATAGTAAAATGATATAGCTAGGAATCAATCATTCATGTACTGATCATGATCGGTTCAGGTAAAAGAGCTGAACACGTAAATCATTGTTATCTTGTAACAATCCCATGCCTGGTAACATGCCCACCAATATCTATTGTGGTTCTGTGAAAACATAACAACAGCTATTTTATTGCCCTTTAATAAATACCAAACAAATATTAGTTTAAAAAAAATAGAAACTTGTACAATACATTGTGATATTTTATTTTGTTTATGTGATCAAAACTTTTGCAATGCATAACAACACATTACTTTATTACAACAAATTCAATTAATGCATTTTTTTTTATTTCAGACACTCAAACTTTTTCTTAGTTTGGCATTGTAAAGTTGATTGAAATGAATAAAATGCAGCAAATGATATTGCAAAGTCTAACTCTACACATATACTAACTTCATATTTGTTGGACCAACCTTGATCAAGTGTGAATAGAAACACTTTCTCCAGAAGACTGCTGAGTTGTATACATTTGCGAACTTTCTCTGCTTCCACCCTCTCCAAAGCTTCCTGTTTCTGTGAGGCAGAGATCATCATGAACTGTCTTGCCTCATTCATGTCAGGGAAAAGCTGTGTGAAAGGGTTAGCTGCCAAGTCATCCATGCTGATGTTCTGAAATTATATTTTTATATTTTTATAAAATAATTACATTATTCCACTTCCTGCTCTTATCATATCTGGTCAGATTACTTAATAGTACATGTATCCGAGACGTTGAACATTACAACACCATTTCATTAAGTGATTTAAGGACCAGCATTACAATAAATGGCATGAGAAACTTTCCTATTTTGTACAAACAAGATTTACATCATGTGACAATGCCTCAGAGATGCTCCAAACCCGAGTAATGTCATCAGGTGTTTTGTAAAATACCTCCATTGAAAATATTCGGAACAACTTCTAAATTTCGCAAAGGACGAAGGACAATTTACTAGTATGGCCAAATAAAACGAAAATGCCAAACTTACAGAGGGCTCTATTTTTAACCTGGGGTTTTTATACATTAAATCCAAACACCATAATCCACGTCAGTTTTACCTCACCGAAGAACGTCTGAGCCGGAAGTACAGACTATTAAAAATATAGTCCATTAAATTTGTTTGCTTTTATTTATATCTACTAGATCAGAATATTCAGTTCATTCCTATGGGATATACATTCTTTTTAAAGTCGGTGCAGTATATAATAATATTGTGTCATTGCTTAAAATATATAATTACGATCTAGTGTACAGTAAAATTAAAGTTAAGTTGTTAACCGGTATATTAATTCCGGAAAATCATGCGCCATAAATCCTAACGCCGTTTTAAAAGCCAGACGCAGATTCAGAAAAAGCTGATATCACATATATGAATACTTGCCTACGGAAACACGTACCAGTTTGATCATCGAGTTATATTAAGTATACATATTATGTGTCTGTCATGGTCGACTTTGCTTATTTCATGCCATTATGTGAAAATTGCAGTGAATTATACCACGGACTTAGATATATAATTCCGTGATTATATACATACATACGTCTCTGATAATATCAGAGACGCATAATAATATGTAGCAAATTGCTTTACCTAAAAGCAACACTAGTAAAAATAGAGAAAATGGGATAACGATTTTGTTTCTACCATCTTAAATGAACATGTTGCTTCTAAGTATTTTTTACTGAATTATTAGTTCTCCCACGGAATTAGATTAGAGGGTGTTATCTAAGTCCGTGGTTCTCCGCATTGGTTATTTTCGTGTGGTTAGTCTATTATTGCACATCCTCGATACTCCAGAGGGGAAACGGGTTGTTTCGCCTTAATATATATATTTTTAATCTATACGCTAATAATATAATTGACATTTAAATATATCAACTAAACTTATGGATAACTTTCAATATTGTTGTTAGATATATTTCATGTAGAAAAATACGCAACTGTGTGAGTGCGGAGTCA